TTTTTTTGGTACTGGGGATCAAATTTAGGACCTTGGGCTTGGAAGGCAGGCACAGTGCCACTGAGCTAAATCCCTGGCCCTACCACTATTTATTGATCACACCACATTGCATGGGGCGTAAAGGCAGATGCAGGGAACAGTAGGGTGCTGATGATGTGTAAAAGGAGGATGATGCATTCAAAGGTAGGTTGTGATAAATGAGTAACCTGTTTGTTTAGCTAACGTTTGTTCTGGGAGAATGGCTGCATAAGAGTCATAAAGTCCTGAGCTGCAGTGTTATCTTGCTGTTAGAGGCACCACAGTGTCACTGACCATTGAGGCTTCAACTGTGACCAATGGCATAGGCAGTTCTGTTTCCGCATGCCAGCTGAAGGCTCATCTAGCAAGTCAGGTAGGCCTAGGACAGACTCACAATTTAATCAATGGCTAATTCATAAGCCAATTCAGTAATATTTTCTAGCCCACTCAGCACAGTTTCAAGCTGGTCTCTGGCAGTAATACACATTTTTAAGTGAGAGAAACAAAATATAAGGGCCACGGTTTTAGCTCAGTGGCACAGCGCCTGCCTGGCAAGCTCAAGGATCTGAGTTTGATCCCGGTACACAAAAAACCCCAAATACATACATATATATATAGGCAATTTCTGTTTCAGATTGGAGTAGGGGGTAGAAGGTATATTATTTGCTTTAACATCACTTCAAAACTAATGCCCATCCTTGGTTAAATTGGAAGTAGCTCACCTTACTGTAATTTGATAAAAGTATTTTCCTTTTTAAATTGAATGATAATTTAGATACTCATTTATCAAAATGGTTAACTGGTTTAAATGTTCAGAAGTTTTTATCTAAACCTTTTGGGGTAACACGTTAATCATAGCCTGACTTTTCATTGGTTAATATGGTCTAGAGGTCTAATTAAAGTGTGGAATCAAGAGGTTTTGGTGGTTTTTCCCTCCAAGAGGAGGCCCTGCCAGCCAGTGTATCCAGAGGGACAATTTTAGTCATTTTCCTGTGGCTTGTTTGGGGAAATTAACCACCCTGTGCATATGTTTAGGCTTTGTCCAGGGATCTGAAACCACTTTGCAGTCAACATACACAGACACCAGCGCTCAGCCCACCTGTGATTATGGTAAGTGTGGGTCCCTGGTGGGAAACAGTGTTGTGTTTTCTATTGGCAGAGCAGTCTTGTGTCTTCTTGGTTGCCTTTGGCTTTGCTGTCATCCTCTCTTGCTTTACTAAACCCAAACTTGTGTCAGGTGGTATGATTGGCCATTTTAATAGCTAGTGCTTTCCTTTGGGGTGATTATGGTAATGATATCTGTGTTACTGAGAAAGCTAGGCTAGGTAAATGATTTGGTTCCTTTGGCCCCTTAACATTTAATAGAAATACATATGGTCTTGGACAAAAGAGCTGGCTGCAGAACATCCCTCTTATGAGCCTTGAAAGAATAGCCAATCAGTCTAAAAGACTGGCCCGGGGGCCGGAAATTTAGCTCAGTGGTTTTGCTGCCTGCTGCCCAAGTGCAAGGACCCGAGTTTGATCCCTGGTACCAAAAAAATAAAATAAAAAATAAAAGACTGGTCCAGGAGAAACCAAGCTATTGGCTCACACCCAGGGTGGTGCATGTGCCTGTTTGGGAGGGTGTGTGAATATATGGATCTAGCTGGCTTTTAGAGATTGCAGTCAGACCACCCCAAGCCAGCACAAACACACAGCAGTGAAATGAAATTTTCCAACTGATTTCTGACGTGTGGACAGACATATTTAATTCTCTAACTCAGAAGTAGCACTCACCAGATTCATAGGTGATGTTCTGTTGACCTGCTGCAGCAGGCCAAAACTACCTGTAAAGCTGGTCTCTCAGTGGCTCGTGACCCCAGGGATGGCTGCAGAGAAGGAGCCTCTTAGGAATAAACAGTGTCTTGGTTACTGAATTGGGCAGGTTTTTTTGTTTTTTTTGCTTTGGTACTGGGGATTGAACTCAGATCTCTGCGCTTGCGAGGCAGGCGGCAGAACCACTGAGCTAAATCCCTGGCCGGAAGTGGGCAGTTTGTGTTATTATCAAGGTCTTGGGAAAGACCGAGCCTACACAGTTGCCATTCCCTCAGGAGTCACTAGATAAATGGACTTTACTAAGCTTCCCAAGTATTAGCAGTTAGTCTCAGTGGGGAGAGAGTTAAAATGTTTTCAAATTGAGTACAGTGTTACTAGGTGTTTCATAAATGAGATACTTGGTTTGAGTGGCTTCCCTATCCTGCTGTCTCCATCTGCCTCTAAACAAATGTCCCAAATGGCACATGGTTTTGGTTTTTGGTTTTTGCAGTGCTAGGGATGGAACCCTAGGCCTCAGTTGTGCTGGGCAACCCTGTACCACTGAGCTAGCCTTCTGGCTCTTGGCACATCTTTTTACTTTTTTTTTTGTACTAGGGATCGAACTCAGGACCTTGCACTTGCAAGGTAGGCAGCGGAAACACTGAGCTAAATCACCGGCTTGGCACATCTTTTTAAATTCTTGTCTCTACATATTCTGGGTATAAGCCTCTTAACCAGATGTGCCATTTACATGTATTTTGTCCTAGATGGGGTTTGTCTGTACTATTGGTGTCTTTTGATTCATTTTTTTTTTCTCCAGTACTAGAAATTGAACCCAGGGCCTTATACTACATCTCCAGCTCTCTTTTTACATTTTTTATTTTAAGACATGGTATCACTAAGTTGCAGCATTGTCCAGGTTGGACTTGGACTTGGGATCCTCCTGCCTCAGTCTCTCAGAGTGCTGGGATTACAGGGTTGTGCCACCAGGCCCAGCGAGAACACAAGTTCTTTTTTTAGAACACAAGTTCTTAATTTTATTTATTTATTTTTTTTCTAGGCAGGGTCTCTCCCTTTGTAGTTCAGGCTGGCCCTGAACTCACTGTGTAGCCTCGGCTGGCCTCAAACTCACAGCGATCCTCCTGCCTCAGCCTCCTGAGTGCTGGGATTACAGGGGTGCAATTACAAGTTCTTAATTTTGATGAAGTCCGACTTATCATTCTTTTCTTTTATGGATCATGATTTTGGTATTGTATCTAAGAATTCTGTGCTTAGCCCATGATCACAAAGATTTGTTTTTTTCAAATTTCCTGTAGATGTTTTAAGTTTTAGATTTTATACTTAGTCTGAGATCCATTTTGAGTTTTTCCATAAAGTGTACAGTACAGGTCAAGGTTCTTTTTTGGGGTGATGGGCTGGGGACATACAGATATATAATTGTTCTAAAATCATTTGTTGAAAAGGCTGTCTTTTCTCTATTGAATTGCCTTTGTAACTTTGTTGAAAAATGAAGTGTTTCTGGACTAATTTTCTTTAGTTGATCTGTATGTCTGAATTTTCTTGAGTACCACCCCATTAATTGCTGGAAAGTAAGTCTTGAAATGAGTCAGTTTGAGTCCTTAGGGTTTATTCTTTCTCTAAGACATCCTGCCTCCTTTGCTTTTACCTTTGAGAATCTGTGCATCAATTTTTATTAAAATTCTTGCTTAGATTTTGAGAAAGCTCTGAGTCTACAGATTAGTATTGGAGATCTAATATCCTAACAATACCAAGTCTGTTGACCCACAGTATGTTACTGCATTTATTTAGTTCTTGATTACTTTCATTAGTGGTTTTTTTTTTTTTGGTACCGGGGATCGAACTTGGGTCCTTGCACTTGCGCAAAATCCCTGGCCCTATAGGTTTTAATGTATACATATTTTGTTCGGTTTACAGCCAAGTATTTCATGTTATTGGTGCTATGGTTAATCCTACTTTAAAAATTTTTTAGTTTCTGTAGGCCTGAGGGTAATAGCTCAGTGATAGAACAAGTGCTTAACATGCAGGAGGCCCTGGGTTCCATTCCCAAGCCCCTCCCCCATAGTCATTTTATAGTTGTTCATTGCTAATATGTAGAAATTTGATTTGTATATTGACTTTGTACTATTTGAAATTTGATTTGTATATTGGCCATATGATAAGCATTGTTGAGCTTATTTGTTCTAGTAGCTATTTTATAGATTAAGGATTTTTTTTTTTTTTTACCTAGACTGTTTTTGTGAAAGAAGAGGGATGGTGTTCCTTCTAGCTTAAATTGGAAGAACAACTTAACTTCGAAATATAATTTAGAAAAACAATCAACCAGTACCCTGAGATTTTAGTATTTAATCTTTGTGAACTTATTTTAATTAGTTGAATAATTTATAGGTAGGTAGTATTGTGTGTCCTATTTTGTTTTCCTTCCCTTGCTAGATAAGGCATAATAAACTGCTTTGGTGTCCACACTGTATCTCACTTGAGTAGGTAGGTTGTAGTCCTATTATTTTT